TTAAAAAGTGACAATTCTTAAAGCATTCCAGAATTTATACACTCTGCAAAGATTCAAACTTGTGACAAAAAATCTTAGCTGTCAACTTAAAATATATGTGAGTCAGCACATACCACCCCCCCCCAAACCCCCTAATTCCTTCAGGAAGCTCAGAGCAAACCCCCTGAAGACAGACTATTGCTTTAGAGAGCAATAGGGGTGTTGGGGAGAGAGGGGGGCTACCTGGGGAAGCTTTGGAGGCGGGATGAGCTGAACTAGAATGGAAGCCTGAGGTGAGCAGATCACATAGGGGAGAGAAAGGAGTCTTGGAGAATAGGACAGAGGATAGTCAGGGGCCCAGGCCTTGGTGTGGTGGAGGAGGCAGCTTCTCAAAGCCAAGGTGTGAGGGATGCACGGGAAATACCAGGGGCCCTTCCTGCCTCCTTTCTGATGACGGGCTCCTCACGTTCCAGTCCTCCACACTGAATGTCTCAGAAGAGGGTGGTGGCGGTGGTGGGGTGTCGGGTGGGCCAACCCCAGCCCTGTCCCTCAGGACCCAGCTCCTGCTTCCTTGAAAGAAGGGGCTATGCTCCCTTCAGTGCTCTGGTACATGCCTGGAGTTCAGCGCTTCCATCCGTCCAAGACTTTAGAACAGCTGGCAGGAAATGAGAAGGCACGTGACCCCAGCTAGAGGCATGTTTCTAGAAGATTTAAGCTCCAACCTAGAGTGCTGTGGAGGACACTGAACGTTAGTGGAGGTCAGAGAATCTAAACCGCAGTCAGCGCTTTGGCTTCAGGCACGGAGCCAGATAGGCCCCAGAGGGACAAAAGCTGTCACTGCAGAAGCAGACACTCAGCTGAGGCCTCCCTGGGGAGTGGTAGGGCCAGAGAAGGGCAAGCCTTCCTGTCTTACCCTCAAGTTCAGGGACTAGACAGCCTGAGCAAGGCCTGAGCAGAGGAGGGGAGGGAGGGTCAGAAGCAAGTCCCACAGTACTATTGAGCAGGGCCCCTCTGCCCGGGTCTTTCCCTGGCCTGGCCTAGTATTTAAACCACTTGGATCTGAGGTGGTGGGTGCCCAATACATTGCGCCTGCCAAACCCCTCTGTAGTCAGACTTGCCATTCTCTAGGGTGAGAACCTGGCTTATTTTGTCACATTAGGGTAAGAAAACCAAAACTACCCGTGTCAGCTTTTTTTTTTTCTTAAGTATATTTTATTGATTTTTACAGAGAGGAAGGGAGAGGGGTAGAGAGTTAGAAACATCGATGAAAGAGAAACATTGATCAGCTGCCTCCAGCACACCCCTTACTGGGGATGTGCCCGCAACCAAGGTACATGCCCTTGACTGGAATCGAACCTGGGACCCTTCAGTCCGCAGGCCGACGCTCTATCCACTGAGCCAAACCAGTTAGGGCCCCTGTCAGCTTTTGACCTTCCTGTGCATTTTGGTTTTTCTTTCCATTTAGATTTTTAGTAACTTCCTTTTGAAACCTGAGCAATCCTTTCTGCTTGTCCAATGTTAAACGTTTTAAAAACACATTCTCATTCAAGTCTCATTTGGTCCTGCTGACAGCCCCGTGAAACAAGAATCACGACCCACCTTTTACAGGTGAAGCTGTCAGAGGTGACGTGACTTGACTTAGTCCAGGACACCGTGACGGTGACCCGATCCGTCTTTTATGAACTCTGTGTGGACTGCCCCAAGGGCAGAGGCGCTTGTCTGTGTCTTAGCCCCCATAACGATGAAGGGCCAAGAGTGCCCTTTACATGCCCAGAGGCCACCGAAGCTTGGTGGCTGTGATGCTCCTGCTGCAGATGATCCATTCATTCCCCGTTCTCATAAATACCCCTTGTCATCACCTTCTAAGCTAAACACCATTTGAGTTTCTGCCCGAATCAATGATTCTTGAACAGCTATTCTTTTGGATCTCAGATAAATGCTTGTTGCCTCTCCCTTTGGCCTTTTATTTTGAGGTTAACAGGATCTAAGGTGATCTACTTAGTACACAGATTTGGCTGTGTGTAACACATACCAAATAGAGCAGTGGTTTGAATGAAGGAGTTTATTTCTTGGTCAAATACTATCTGGAAGTAGGTGGCTTAGGCCTGGTTTGGTAGGTGGTTCTGCTCAGCCATCCCCAGTTTGTATAGTCCAAACATTTCATCCATTTTCCAAGCAGCAAGGTGAAGAAGTGGCCTGTTCTCTGCCGTTATGGGCAGAATTACAAGTCACTTACCTGCTTATCTTTCTGCTTATTTTGGTCAGAGGTTAATCATGTGGCTACACCTATTTGCACAAAGGGCTGGGGAGCATGGCCTTTATTTGAATTTAAAAGTAAGTTTGTTTTTAAACTATACAGAGTCTGTTTGGCTATGAGAGATAAGGGGAGAAGTGGTAAGGAGACAACTAGCAGCAGCCTTTACTCCAAATGATATTTGACACCTGCCACAAAACATAAATTGGGCAGTATTTCCTCCTTTTTTAATTTCTGGAAATACGTATAAGATGCCCTGCATGCCCTCCCTACCCCTCTTGATTTGGTAAACTTTCCCAGAAAGACCATCTGCGTCTGTTTTATTTTTATATATCTTCTTTTGTGTAGGTTTATACTACTGAACAGTTTTTATTTTTTACTAATAAAAATTGTATTGCTTAGCAGCATTTAGAATGTTAACAAAATGGCTGCAACTTTTTTGTTTTTTTGCAATTAGAGAGTGGTATTCAGTTAAGAGAACAACAATTGTTTCATAAAAGCTGCATCAGAGACAACTGAAGATGAAAACATTACCATCCCCACATGTAACTAATTTGTGCTGTGCACCAAGAACCTGCTTTAAACTTCCATGCCAATTTACAACCCCCATACTGTAGCAGGCAAAGTTAGTGGCTATTGGAAATACCACCAGGACAGGCCTATCCAAACACACATTGGGCCCTGCCAACGTGGCTCAGTTGGTTGGAGCTTTGTCCAACTGTGCATCGAAGGGTCCTGGGTTCAATTCCCAGTCAGGGCACATACCTAGGTCTAGGTTCGATTTCCCGTTAGAGGCAGCCGATCAATGTTTTTCTCTCTCCCTTCGTCTCTCTCTAAAATAAATAAAGACACATATCATCAGTGAGGATTATAAAACAAAAAGCATTAAAAAAAGACATTTGGTAGTGTGTTAATTGTACACACAGAAAAAGACACTGTATAGTTAGTTTAAAAACAAATCTTTTAAAAAAATATCCTATATAATAAAAAGCTATGTGCAAATTGTCCCCTAGACCAGGAGTTCGACCGGGAGTTGGACCAGGGGGCGGGGCCAGCCAACCACCAGCAGCCCCTCCCTCCAGCCACCCAGCTCCCCATCGCCCTGATCAGGGTGGGCTGGCTGGACCCCACTCATGCACAAATTTGTGCACCAGGCCTCTAGTAAACAAAACAACCAAAAACAAATCTTACACAGCCTTTGATTTCAGTTTTTTTCTTTAAAAGGAATGAGTTGTGTACAGGGTAGGTAAATGCTTTATAGACAAGAAAAAAAGTTGTCTAGAACCAACTTATCATCTTCTTCATCTTCATCTACCTTCTGTTATAGGACAGTCAAAAGTTAGAAAAATTCGGGACACGCAGAATAGGGAAACTAAGACAGATGGTTAAATAGCAGTTTACAGCCACATTGTAAATCTTATCTTCCCTAAACTAAGGACACGTAAGAGTAAGTGGTTTGCATTTCTCCTCCCAAACCAGAGGGTAAATAGCTTAAATCACCCGACTCAGGAAGATAGATAACGGACCAGGGCAGATAAGGGAAGGATTCCTGGTCAGAGATGCCCCAGCCTGAGCTCTCTCTCTCTCTCAACTTTCCTTCCTTCCCGCATCCTGGTCCAGTCTCATTCTACCTCCCAAAAAACCTTTGCAAACAACAACAACAGAAACCAACAGACATTAGAAGAGTGGTCAGGGGCCTTTGTACACCTGGTATCAGGGCTGGAAGGAAGCAGGGTATTTAGGGAACATCTTCCTTGAACAAAGCACTGGGCCGGGCAATACAGGCTAGAAGAGATGCAGAGATTAAAAAAGCTTTGAGCCGAAACCGGTTTGTCTCAGTGGATAGAGCGTTGGCCTGCGGACTGAGATGTCCAAGGTTCGATTCCGGCCGAGGGCATGTACCTGGGTTGCGAGCACATCCCCAGTGGGAGATGTGCAGGAGACAGCTGATCGATGTTTCTCTCTCATCGATGTTTCTAACTCTCTATCTCTCTCCCTTCCTCTCTGTAAAAAATCAATAAAATATATTTTTTTAAAAAAATAAAAAAGCTTTAAGCCCTGGCTGGTGTGGCTCAGTTGGTTGGGTGTAGTCCATGCATGGAAAGGTTGCTGGTTCGATTTCGGGTCAGGGCACATGCCCAGTCTTTCAGGCTTGATCCCTCCTTGGGGGCGGGGAGGGGTGGAGGGTAAGATGTGAGGCAGCCGATAGATGTCTGGCTCTCACATCAATGTTTCTCTCTCTCCCTTGCCCTTCCTCTCTCTCTAAGGCAGGGGTGGGCAAACTTTTTTTTTTTTTTAAAATATATTTTATTGATTTTTTTAAAGAGAGGAAGGGAGAGGGATAGAGAGTTAGAAACATCAATGAGAGAGATCGATCAACTGCCTCCTGCACACTCCCCACTGGGGATATGCCTGCAACCAAGGTACATGCCCTTGACCGGAATCGAACCTGGGACCTTTCAGTCTGCAGGCCAATGCTCTAGCCACTGAGCCAAACCAGTCATGGCGGGTGGGCAAACTTTATGAATCGAGGGCCACAATGGGTTCTTAAAGTGGACCGGAGGGCCGGAACAAAAGCATGGATGGAGTGTTTGTGTGAACTAATATAAATTCAAAGTAAACATCATTACATAAAAGGGTACGGTCTTTTTTTTCTTTTTAGTTTTATTCATTTCAAACGGGCCGGATCCGGCCCGCGGGGCATAGTTTGCCCACGGCTGCTCTAAGGGATCAATAATATATATATAATTTTTTTTTTTTTAATCATAAAGCAGTGAGGTTGTCTATCCAGGATTTTAAAAAAATGGCCCCAAAGCCTCGTCCTTCTGTGTGGTTCAGAATACACAATGGCTGTGTGTCAGAAACACACTCCTTGCTTCCAGGAATGTCTGGTGTCTGGGGAGATTACAAGACCCAGGAAAAGGCTGCAGCTGTACCAGTTAGTGGGCCCAGGCCAATGCCAACTGAGAATCTATAGGAGCCAGGGGAGGAGGGCATGGAGGGCGGGGGCCAGGGCAGGCTTCCCGTGGGAGGGGCAGTGCCAGTAGGCTTTAAGTAGGCAGTGAGGGCAGGGCAGTGGGCACAGAGGAAGACGGCCTTCGAGAGCAGGTGGGAGGGGCAGGGACTTGAACTGTGGATGCCCAGGCCCTTCCTTCACCAGGATCTGATGGGCAGGGTGGCTGCAGCTCCTTCCTGGGCTTGGGGGCGTGAGTGGAGGCTCATTGCCCGGGTTCACTTCTGGGGGCACTGGGCATGGGCGGCATCTCAGACTAGATCCACCTGTCCCTTTATACCCTGTTATTCAGAGAGCTGTATTCGCTGGGAATGTGAGTGTCTTTTGTCCCGGGGTGAGGAGGTGACTGTGTGGCCTCTGGCTGGCAGGCTGGCGGCAGCTCTGCCTCCAGCTGGGGCACACTCGGCCTGGCTCCTCTTTAGGTAATCGGGTGAAGGGTCCTCGGGGCCTGTTGCATATTTTGGGGGTGGGTATGAGGGAGGCTAGGCTAGCGGGGTGTGGCTGGGAGTCTGTAGAATGTCTGACTCAATGAATCCGGACATTGTCCTTTCCCAGCAGCGGCCATGGCCTGGGAGTCTGGACTCCCTTCCCTGGCGCCTGGCCGGATGGATTGCGGAGGGCCTAGGTCCTTGCCTCTGCTTTGTTGCCTGGGGCTGGGGTCTCAGCCAATCTTGGTGTCTTGGTAGAGACTATGGCTCCTGTCCCAGCCATCTTGGCTCATCCTAGCCGCTCCTCGCTGTGTTTGCCCCCAGGGCAGAGGGCCTGGGTGAGACAGGTGTGCAGACGGTGGAGGGATGGGCACTTACTCTCTTCCCACGGGAGCCTCTTCCTCTCACTGGGACTCTGAAAAGCCCAGGGCCTGGGCTGGGGAAGGGCTGGGAGAACCTGTTGGGGCAGTTGACCTGGGGAACACCTGGATTAGAAGAGCCACATAGTACTCATTCCAGGGCTACCCCCCTGTGCCTCCCTTTTCCTGCCTCCCCCTGGAGGACCTGTCAGCTTAGAGGACCCAGGGCCCAGGGTGTGTGTGGGGGAGGAGAAGTGGCCTGTCGGGGGTTCTTCTCATCTGTGATTCTCATGGTGCCCAGGCCCCTCGAGAAGTGAGGCAGTGATGGCGGACTGCTACACAGAGCTGGAGAAGGCGGTTGTAGTTCTGGTGGAAAACTTCTACAAATATGTGTCTAAGCCCAGCCCGGCCAAGAACAAGATCAGCAAGGACAGCTTCCAAAAGATGCTTCAGCAGGAGCTCAACCACATGCTGACGGTAAGGCCCCCATGCAAGGGCCCTGTCTCTCCCCAGCCCCCGAAGCCCTGTCTTCCCCATTGCAGCCCCTGTTCGGGGGCCTCTGCCTAGGGGGCTCTGTGGGACTGCCACTCTCAGCATGGCTGACCCAGGTTCCTCCTCAGAACACGGGGAACCGAAAGGCTGCTGACAAGGTCATCCAGGACCTGGACGCCAACCAGGATGGATGCGTCAGCTTTGACGAGTACTGGACCTTGATAGGAGGCATCGCCAGCCCCATCGCCAACCTCATGTGCGAGCAGAAGCAGCAGAGCAGCAGCTAAAGACCCCCCACCGTCCCCTCATGGCACTGCCCCCATGCCCAGCCCCTCGTGCTCTTCCCAGCCTCCTGCCCACCCAGGCCCTGCCCTCACTTCTCCCTCCAGACCTTCTGTTGATCATTGCTGAACAGGGGGAGGGGGGATGTCAGGGCCTCTTTGTGAGCATATCCCAGTCTGGGGGTGCCTACCTCAGGGTCTCAGTACCTGGAGCCAGCAGACGCTGGGCATCCAGGCCCCCAGTGCTGTTTGGGTAACCCGAGTTTCCTCAGTCCATCTACCCTGCCAACATCTGATGTTCCTGCCTAATTCTGGGTCTCTCTTGACCTCTGGAGGTCAGCTCGCTGCTCCAGGTCTTCCTGCTCCTGGCATAAGCACCAGAGACATCTCCCCTTCCCCTCAGCCCCTGGGCTGGGGAAAGACTTTCAGGGACTGCCCTCCAGCTAGCTGCCTCTGGGTCTGGGAAGAGATCAGCAGGGTTGAGCCTTCTCCCTCCTCCTCAGCCCCTGAAGCATGGCAATAAAGGCTGGATTTGACCTTTGTTTCCCCCTCACCCAGTCCCTTTGTGATGCTCATTAAAACCTTTCCAGCCCTAATCGGTTTGGCTCAGTGGATAGAGCGTCAGCCTGCGGACTCAAGGGTCCCAGGTTCGATTCAGGTCAAGGGCATGTACCTTGGTTGCGGGCACATCCCGGGTTAGGGGATGTGCAGGAGGCAGCTGATCGATGTTTCTCTCTCATCGATGTTTCTAACTCTCTATCCCTCTCCCTTCCTCTCTGTAAAAAATCAATAAAATATATTAAAAAATATATTTTAAAAACAAACAAAAAAACCTTTCCACATCCTGGCCAGTGATTCCTGGTCAAAGGCACATGCCTGGGTTGCAGGTGCGATCCCTGGCTTTGGTCTGGGCGTGTGTAGGAGGCAACCAATTGATATGTCTCTCTCTCATGAACATCTCTCTCTCTCTCTCTCTCTCTCTCTCTCTCTCTCCATCCTCCCTCCTTTCTTCCTCTCCCCCCTCTTTTCCACTCTCTGAAAATCAATGGAAAGAATATCCTTGGGCGAGGATTAACAAAAAAACAAAAACAACACCCCCCCACCCCAAAACAAAACACAACAAAAAACAAAACACACACACACACACACACACACACCACCAAACACCTTTCCACTCTTTGGAACCTTAGAAAGAAGTAGAAGTCCTAGATCCCTGTGGGTGCTGTGTTGTAATGTACCCCCATGTACATTCACCTTCCGTGAATCACAGAAGGACGCCTCAAGAAATGGAATTAAAGAGTCACATTTATTGCAATCCGGGACTCTGAGGGGCCATTCCCCAAATCTCATAGCGATAAGATGGCCACAACACCAGACTTATATAGGCAAAGGTCACAAAGGTATTGATTACATCCCAGGGTTTGAAATGAGGAACCTGATTTGCAAAAAAGCAGTTTACAGAAGCAGAAACAGCATGTTATCTAAATTACAGTTTGGGGTCTCCGTATCACTGAATTGACAGAAACACGTTAACTAGAGCCCTCTGACCTTGGGATAATTGGCTGTCCTTCCCAGGTAAAGGAAAATGTGCTTTCTAAGACCAGTATGACCACAACCAATGGGATAGTCACAGTACAATCAATAGGGTATTCGATCGAATGGGATGATTCATATAATTCAGAAAATCAAAATAACTTTTCTATTGTTAAACAAAGCAAATAAGTACAGAAGCCAAACAGCAGGGTTAAAGTTAAACTATGGTGTCTACCTGAGATGGTTGCTACCATACTTCAGCTGTCAGCCCTGGACCAGCAGTTCCTTCCAGCTCCATGAAGGTCCAAAGGCCACATGTCACCACTGGGCCTCCTAGCCAGACTGACAGTATGTCCCACGTAGTCCTTATTGCAGTTCTGTGAGCGAGGGGCCATGGCCCTTAGTTCCACTGAGTATCTGAATGCTCATCAACAGATTATTTATTTATTTTAAAAATATATTTTTTTATTGATTTCAGAGATGGAGAGAGAGAGAGAGAGAGAGAGAGAGAGAGAGAGAGAGAGAGAGATGATGAGAACGCATCATTGATTGGCTGCCTCCTGCACGCCCCGCACTGGGGATAGAGCCCATAACCTGGGCATGTGCCCTGATCAGGAATCAAACCCTGGTTCATAGGTCCGTGCTCAATTAGTGAGCCATGCCGGCCGGCCGGGAAAATATGAATATATTTAAATGGGTAATGGAGAGCATTACACCATTGTGATGTTTAGATTTCATCAAGCACGAATTTAAAAGACTCAGTTTATTTAAAAAGACACAATACTTGAAGCATTCCAGAATTTATACACTCTGCAAAGATTCAAACTTGTGACAAAAAATCTTAGCTGTCAACTTAAAATATATGTGAGTCAGTACATACCACCCCCCCAACCCCCTAATTCCTTCAGGAAGCTCAGAGCAAACCCCCTGAAGACAGACTATTGCTCCAGACAGCAATAGGGGTGTTGGGAGAGAGGGGGGCTACCTGGGGAAGCTTTGGAGGGGAATGAGCTGAACTAGAATGGAAGCCTGAGGTGAGCAGATCACATAGGGGAGAGAAAGGAGTCTTGGAGAATAGGACAGAGGATAGCCAGGGGCCCAGGCCTTGGTGTGGTGGAGGAGGCAGCTTCTCAAAGCCAAGGTGTGAGGGATGCACGGGAAATACCAGGGGCCCTTCCTGCCTCCTTTCTGATGACGGGCTCCTCACGTTCCAGTCCTCCACACTGAATGTCTCAGAAGAGGGTGGTGGCGGTGGTGGGGTGTCGGGTGGGCCAACCCCAGCCCTGTCCCTCAGGACCCAGCTCCTGCTTCCTTGAAAGAAGGGGCTATGCTCCCTTCAGTGCTCTGGTACATGCCTGGAGTTCAGCGCTTCCATCCGTCCAAGACTTTAGAACAGCTGGCAGGAAATGAGAAGGCACGTGACCCCAGCTAGAGGCCTGTTTCTAGAAGATTTAAGCTCCAACCTAGAGTGCTGGGGAGGACACTGAATGTTAGTGGAGGTCAGAGAATCTAAACCGCAGTCAGCGCTTTGGCCTCAGGCACGGAGCCAGATAGGCCCCAGAGGGACAAAAGCTGTCACTGCAGAAGCAGGCACTCAGCTGAGGCCTCCCTGGGGAGTGGTAGGGCCAGAGAAGGGCAAGCCTTTCTGTCTTACCCTCAAGTTCAGGGACTAGACAGCCTGAGCAAGGCCTGAGCAGAGTGGGGGAGGGAGGGTCAGAAGCAAGTCCCACAGTGCTATTGAGCAGGGCCCCTCTGCCTGGTCTTTCCCTGGCCTGGCCTAGTATTTAAACCACTTGGATCTGAGGTGGTGGGTGCCCAATACATTGCGCCTGCCAAACCCCTCTGTAGTCAGACTTGCCATTCTCTAGGGTGAGAACCTGGCTTATTTTGTCACATTAGGGTAAGAAAACCAAAACTACCCGTGTCAGCTTTTTTTTTTTTTTTATAATATATTTTATTGATTTTTACAGAGAGGAAGGGAGAGGGATAGAGAGTAAGAAACATCGATGAGAGAGAAACATCAATCAGCTGCCTCCAGCACACCCCTTACTGGGGATGTGCCCGCAACCAAGGTACATGCCCTTGACTGGAATCGAACCTGGGACCCTTCAGTCTGCAGGCCGACGCTCTATCCACTGAGCCAAACCAGTTAGGGCCCCTGTCAGCTTTTGTCCTTCCTGTGCATTTTGGTTTTTCTTTCCATTTAGATTTTTAGTAACTTCCTTTTGAAACCTGAGCAATCCTTTCTGCTTGTCCAATGTTAAACGTTTTAAAAACACGTTCTCATTCAAGTCTCATTTGGTCCTGCTGACAGCCCCGTGAAACAAGAATCACGATCCACCTTTTACAGGTGGAGCTGTCAGAGGTGACGTGACTTGACTTAGCCCAGGACACCCTGACAGTGACCCGATCCGTCTTTTATGAACTCTGTGTGGACTGCCCCAAGGGCAGAGGCGCTTGTCTGTGTCTTAGCCCCAATAACGATGAAGGGCCAAGAGTGCCCTTTACATGCCCAGAGGCCACCGAAGCTTGGTGGCTGTGATGCTCCTTCTGCAGATGATCCATTCATTCCCCGTTCTCATAAATACCCCTTGTCATCACCTTCTAAGCTAAACACCATTTGAGTTTCTGCCCGAATCAATGATTCTTGAACAGCTATTCTTTTGGATCTCAGATAAATGCTTGTTGCCTCTCCCTTTGGCCTTTTATTTTGAGGTTAACAGGATCTAAGGTGATCTACTTAGTACACAGATTTGGCTGTGTGTAACACATACCAAATAGAGCAGTGGTTTGAATGAAGGAGTTTATTTCTTGGTCAAATACTATCTGGAAGGAGGTGGCTTAGGCCTGGTTTGGTAGGTGGTTCTGCTCAGCCATCCCCAGTTTGTATAGTCCAAACGTTTCATCCATTTTCCAAGCAGCAAGGTGAAGAAGTGGCCTGTTCTCTGCCGTTATGGGCAGAATTACAAGTCACTTACCTGCTTATCTTTCTGCTTATTTTGGTCAGAGGTTAAACATATGGCTACACCTATTTGCACAAAGGGCTGGGGAGCATGGCCTTTATTTGAATTTAAAAGTAAGTTTGTTTTTAAACTATACAGAGTCTGTTTGGCTATGAGAGATAAGGGGAGAAGTGGTAAGGAGACAACTAGCAGCAGCCTTTACTCCAAATGATATTTGACACCTGCCACAAAACATAAATTGGGCAGTATTTCCTCCTTTTTTAATTTCTGGAAATACGTATAAGATGCCCTGCATGCCCTCCCTACCCCTCTTGATTTGGTAAACTTTCCCAGAAAGACCATCTGCGTCTGTTTTATTTTTATATATCTTCTTTTGTGTAGGTTTATACTACTGAACAGTTTTTATTTTTTACTAATAAAAATTGTATTGCTTAGCAGCATTTAGAATGTTAACAAAATGGCTGCAACTTTTTTGTTTTTTTGCAATTAGAGAGTGGTATTCAGTTAAGAGAACAACAATTGTTTCATAAAAGCTGCATCAGAGACAACTGAAGATGAAAACATTACCATCCCCACATGTAACTAATTTGTGCTGTGCACCAAGAACCTGCTTTAAACTTCCATGCCAATTTACAACCCCCATACTGTACCAGGCAAAGTTAGTGGCTATTGGAAATACCACCAGGACAGGCCTATCCAAACACACATTGGGCCCTGCCAACGTGGCTCAGTTGGTTGGAGCTTTGTCCAACTGTGCATCGAAGGGTCCTGGGTTCAATTCCCAGTCAGGGCACATACCTAGGTCTAGGTTCGATTTCCCGTTAGAGGCAGCCGATCAATGTTTTTCTCTCTCCCTTTGTCTCTCTCTAAAATAAATAAAGACACATATCATCAGTGAGGATTATAAAACAAAAAGCATTAAAAAAAGACATTTGGTAGTGTGTTAATTGTACACACAGAAAAAGACACTGTATAGTTAGTTTAAAAACAAATCTTTAAAAAAAATATCCTATATAATAAAAAGCTATGTGCAAATTGTCCCCTAGACCGGGAGTTCGACCGGGAGTTGGACCAGGGGGCGGGGCCAGCCAACCACCAGCAGCCCCTCCCTCCAGCCACCCAGCTCCCCATCGCCCTGATCAGGGTGGGCTGGCTGGACCCCACTCATGCACAAATTTGTGCACCAGGCCTCTAGTAAACAAAACAACCAAAAACAAATCTTACACAGCCTTTGATTTCAGTTTTTTTCTTTAAAAGGAATGAGTTGTGTACAGGGTAGGTAAATGCTTTATAGACAAGAAAAAAAGTTGTCTAGAACCAACTTATCATCTTCTTCATCTTCATCTACCTTCTGTTATAGGACAGTCAAAAGTTAGAAAAATTCGGGACACGCAGAATAGGGAAACTAAGACAGATGGTTAAATAGCAGTTTACAGCCACATTGTAAATCTTATCTTCCCTAAACTAAGGACACGTAAGAGTAAGTGGTTTGCATTTCTCCTCCCAAACCAGAGGGTAAATAGCTTAAATCACCCGACTCAGGAAGATAGATAACGGACCAGGGCAGATAAGGGAAGGATTCCTGGTCAGAGATGCCCCAGCCTGAGCTCTCTCTCTCTCTCAACTTTCCTTCCTTCCTGCATCCTGGTCCAGTCTCATTCTACCTCCCAAAAAACCTTTGCAAACAACAACAACAGAAACCAACAGACATTAGAAGAGTGGTCAGGGGCCTTTGTACACCTGGTATCAGGGCTGGAAGGAAGCAGGGTATTTAGGGAACATCTTCCTTGAACAGAGCACTGGGCCGGGCAATACAGGCTCGAAGAGATGCAGAGATTAAAAAAGCTTTGAGCCGAAACCGGTTTGTCTCAGTGGATAGAGCGTTGGCCTGCGGACTGAGATGTCCAAGGTTCGATTCCGGCCGAGGGCATGTACCTGGGTTGCGAGCACATCCCCAGTGGGAGATGTGCAGGAGACAGCTGATCGATGTTTCTCTCTCATCGATGTTTCTAACTCTCTATCTCTCTCCCTTCCTCTCTGTAAAAAATCAATAAAATATATATTTTTTTAAAAAATAAAAAAGCTTTAAGCCCTGGCTGGTGTGGCTCAGTTGGTTGGGTGTAGTCCATGCATGGAAAGGTTGCTGGTTCGATTTCGGGTCAGGGCACATGCCCAGTCTTTCAGGCTTGATCCCTCCTTGGGGGCGGGGAGTGGTGGAGGGTAAGATGTGAGGCAGCCGATAGATGTCTGGCTCTCACATCAATGTTTCTCTCTCTCCCTTGCCCTTCCTCTCTCTCTAAGGCAGGGGTGGGCAAACTTTTTTTTTTTTTTTAAATATATTTTATTGATTTTTTTAAAGAGAGGAAGGGAGAGGGATAGAGAGTTAGAAACATCAATGAGAGAGATCGATCAACTGCCTCCTGCACACTCCCCACTGGGGATATGCCTGCAACCAAGGTACATGCCCTTGACCGGAATCGAACCTGGGACCTTTCAGTCTGCAGGCCAATGCTCTAGCCACTGAGCCAAACCAGTCATGGCGGGTGGGCAAACTTTATGAATCGAGGGCCACAATGGGTTCTTAAAGTGGACCGGAGGGCCGGAACAAAAGCATGGATGGAGTGTTTGTGTGAACTAATATAAATTCAAAGTAAACATCATTACATAAAAGGGTACGGTCTTTTTTTTCTTTTTAGTTTTATTCATTTCAAACGGGCCGGATCCGGCCCGCGGGGCATAGTTTGCCCACGGCTGCTCTAAGGGATCAATAATATATATATAATTTTTTTTTCAATCATAAAGCAGTGAGGTTGTCTATCCAGGATTTTAAAAAAATGGCTCCAAAGCCTCGTCCTTCTGTGTGGTTCAGAATACACAATGGCTGTGTGTCAGAAACACACTCCTTGCTTCCAGGAATGTCTGGTGTCTGGGGAGATTACAAGACCCAGGAAAAGGCTGCAGCTGTACCAGTTAGTGGGCCCAGGCCAATGCCAACTGAGAATCTATAGGAGCCAGGGGAGGAGGGCATGGAGGGCGGGGGCCAGGGCAGGCTTCCCGTGGGAGGGGCAGTGCCAGTAGGCTTTAAGTAGGCAGTGAGGGCAGGGCAGTGGGCACAGAGGAAGACGGCCTTCGAGAGCAGGTGGGAGGGGCAGGGACTTGAACTGTGGATGCCCAGGCCCTTCCTTCACCAGGATCTGATGGGCAGGGTGGCTGCAGCTCCTTCCTGGGCTTGGGGGCGTGAGTGGAGGCTCATTGCCCGGGTTCACTTCTGGGGGCACTGGGCATGGGCGGCATCTCAGACTAGATCCACCTGTCCCTTTATACCCTGTTACTCAGAGAGCTGTATCCGCTGGGAATGTGAGTGTCTTTTGTCCCGGGGTGAGGAGGTGACTGTGTGGCCTCTGGCTGGCAGGCTGGCGGCAGCTCTGCCTCCAGCTGGGGCATACCCGGCCTGGCTCCTCTTTAGGTAATCGGGTGAAGGGTCCTCGGGGCCTGTTGCATATTTTGGGGGTGGGTATGAGGGAGGCTAGGCTAGCGGGGTGTGGCTGGGAGTCTGTAGAATGTCTGACTCAATGAATCCGGACATTGTCCTTTCCCAGCAGCGGCCATGGCCTGGGAGTCTGGACTCCCTTCCCTGGCGCCTGGCCGGATGGATTGTGGAGGGCCTAGGTCCTTGCCTCTGCTTTGTTGCCTGGGGTCGGGGTCTCAGCCAATCTTGGTGTCTTGGTAGGAGACTATGGCTCCTGTCCCAGCCATCTTGGCTCATCCTAGCCGCTCCTAGCTGTGTTTGCCCCCAGGGCAGAGGGCCTGGGTGAGACAGGTGTGCAGACGGTGGAGGGATGGGCACTTACTCTCTTTCCAGGGGAGCCTCTTCCTCTCACTGGGACTCTGAAAAGCCCAGGGCCTGGGGCTGGGAGAACCTGTTGGGGCAGTTGACCTGGGGAACACCTGGATTAGAAGAGCCACATAGTACTCATTCCAGGGCTACCCCCCTGTGCCTCCCTTTTCCTGCCTCCCCCTGGAGGACCTGTCAGCTTAGAGGACCCAGGGCCCAGGGTGTGTGGAGGGGAGGAGAAGTGGCCTGTCGGGGGTTCTTCTCATCTGTGATTCTCATGGTGCCCAGGCCCCTCGAGAAGTGAGGCAGTGATGGCGGACTGCTACACAGAGCTGGAGAAGGCGGTTGTAGTTCTGGTGGAAAACTTCTACAAATATGTGTCTAAGCCCAGCCCGGCCAAGAACAAGATCAGCAAGGACAGCTTCCAAAAGATGCTTCAGCAGGAGTTCAACCACATGCTGACGGTAAGGCCCCCACGCAAGGGCCCTGTCTCTCCCCAGCCCCCGAAGCCCTGTCTTCCCCAGTGCAGCCCCTGTTCGGGGGCCTCTGCCTAGGGGGCTCTGTGGGACTGCCACTCTCAGCATGGCTGACCCAGGTTCCTCCTCAGAACACGGGGAACCGAAAGGCTGCTGACAAGCTCATCCAGGACCTGGACGCCAACCAGGATGGATGCGTCAGCTTTGACGAGTACTGGACCTTGATAGGAGGCATCGCCAGCCCCATCGCCAACCTCATGTGCGAGCAGAAGCAGCAGAGCAGCAGCTAAAGACCCCCCACCGTCCCCTCATGGCACTGCCCCCATGCCCAGCCCCTCGTGCTCTTCCCAGCCTCCTGCCCACCCGGGCCCTGCCCTCACTTCTCCCTCCAGACCTTCTGTTGATCATTGCTGAACAGGGGGAGGGGGGATGTCAGGGCCTCTTTGTGAGCATATCCCAGTCTGGGGGTGCCTACCTCAGGGTCTCGGTCCCTGGAGCCAGCAGACGCTGGGCATCCAGGCCCCCAGTGCTGTTTGGGTAACCCGAGTTTCCTCAGTCCATCTACCCTGCCAACATCTGATGTTCCTGCCTAATGCTGAGTCTCTCTTGACCTCTGGAGGTCAGCTGGCTGCTCCAGGTCTTCCTGCTCCTGGCATAAGCACCAGAGACATCTCCCCTTCCCCTCAGCCCCTGGGCTGGGGAAAGACTTTCAGGGACTGCCCTCCAGCTAGCTGCCTCTGGGTCTGGGAAGAGATCAGCAGGGTTGAGCCTTCTCCCTCCTCCTCAGCCCCTGAAGCATGGCAATAAAGGCTGGATTTGACCTTTGTTTCCCCCTCACCCAGTCCCTTTGTGATGCTCATTAAAACCTTTCCAGCCCTAATCGGTTTGGCTCATTGGATAGAGCGTCGGCCTGCAGACTCAAGGGTCCCAAGTTCGATTCAGGTCAAGGGCATGTACCTTGGTTGCGGGCACATCCCAGTAGGAGTTGTGTAGGAGGCAGCTGATTGATGTTTCTCTCTCATTGATGTTTCTAACTCTCTATCCCTCTCCCTTCCTCTCTGTAAAAAATCAATAAAATATATTAAAAATATATTTTAAAAACAAACAAACAAAAAAAAAAACCTTTCCACATCCTGGCCAGTGATTCCTGGTCAAAGGCACATGCCTGGGTTGCAGGTGCGATCCCTGGCTTTGGTCTGGGCGTGTGTAGGAGGCAACCAATTGATATGTCTCTCTCTCATGAACATCTCTCTCTCTCTCTCTCTCTCTCTCTCTCTCTCTCTCTCTCCATCCTCCCTCCTTTCTTCCTCTCCCCCCTCTTTTCCACTCTCTGAAAATCAATGGAAAGAATATCCTTGGGCGAGGATTAACAAAAAAACAAAAACAACACCCCCCAAAACAAAACACAACAAAAAACAAAACACACACACACACACACACACACACACACACACACACACACACCACCACCAAACACCTTTCCACTCTTTGGAACCTTAGAAAGAAGTAGAAGTCCTAGATCCCTGTGGGTGCTGTGTTGTAATGTACCCCCATGTACATTCACCTTCCGTGAATCACAGAAGGACGCCTCAAGAAATGGAATTAAAGAGTCACATTTATTGCAATCCGGGACTCTGAGGGGCCATTCCCCAAATCTCATAGTGATAAGATGGCCGCAACACCAGACTTATATAGGCAAAGGTCACAAAGGTATTGATTACATCCCAGGGTTTGAAATGAGGAACCTGATTTGCAAAAAAGCAGTTTACAGAAGCAGAAACAGCATGTTATCTAAATTACAGTTTGGGATCTCCGTATCACTGAATTGACAGAAACACGTTAACTAGAGCCCTCTGACCTTGGGATAATTGGCTGTCCTTCCCAGGTAAAGGAAAATGTGCTTTCTAAGACCAGTATGACCACAACCAATGGGATAGTCACAGTACAATCAATAGGGTATTCGATCGAATGGGATGATTCATATAATTCAGAAAATCAAAATAACTTTTCTATTGTTAAACAAAGCAAATAAGTACAGAAGCCAAACAGCAGGGTTAAAGTTAAACTATGGTGTCTACCTGAGATGATTGCTACCATACTTCAGCTGTCAGCCCTGGACCAGCAGTTCCTTCCAGCTCCATGAAGGTCCAAAGGCCACATGTCACCACTGGGCCTCCTAGCCAGACTGACAGTATGTCCCACGTAGTCCTTATTGCAGTTCTGTGAGCGAGGGGCCATGGCCCTTAGTTGCACTGAGTATCTGAATGCTCATCAACAGATTATTTATTTATTTTAAAAATATATTTTTTTATTGATTTCAGAGATGGAGAGAGAGAGAGAGAGAGAGAGAGAGAGAGAGAGAGAGAGAGAGAGAGATGATGAGAACGCATCATTGATTGGCTGCCTCCTGCACGCCCCGCACTGGGGATAGAGCCCATAACCTAGGCATGTGCCCTGACCAGGAATCAAACCCTGGTTCATAGGTGGGCGCTCAATTACTGAGCCATGCCGGCCGGCCGGGAAAATATGAATATATTTAAATGGATAATGGAGAGCATTACACCATTGTGATGTTTAGATTTCATCAAGCACGAATTTAAAAGACTCAGTTTATTTAAAAAGTCACAATACTTGAAGCATTCCAGAATTTATACACTCTGCAAAGATTCAAACTTGTGACAAAAAATCTTAGCTGTCAACTTAAAATATATGTGAGTCACTACATACCACCCCCCCAACCCCCTAATTCCTTCAGGAAGCTCAGAGCAAACCCCCTGAAGACAGACTATTGCTTTAGAGAGCAATAGGGGTGTTGGGGAGAGAGGGGGGCTACCTGGGGAAGCTTTGGAGGCGGGATGAGCTGAACTAGAATGGAAGCTTGAGGTGAGCAGATCAAATAGGAGAGAGAAAAGAGTCTTGGAGAATAGGACAGAGGATAGCCAGGGGCCAAGGCCTTGGTGTGGTGGAGGAGGCAGCTTCTCCAAGCCAAGGTGTGAGGGATGCACGGGAAATACCAGAGGCCCTTCCTGCCTCCTTTCCGATGACCGGCTCCTCAGGTTCCAATCCTCCACACTGAATGTCTCAGAAGAGGGTGGTGGTGGTGGTGGGGTGTCGGGTGGGCCAACCCCAGCCCTGTCCCTCAGGACCCAGCTCCTGCTTCCTTGAGAGAAGGGGCTATGCTCCCTTCAGTGCTCTGGTACATGCCTGGAGTTCAGCACTTCCATCCGTCCAAGACTTTAGAACAGCTGGCAGGAAATGAGAAGGCACGTGACCCCAGCTAGAGGCCTGTTTCTAGAAGATTTAAGCTCCAACCTAGAGTGCTGGGGAGGACACTGAATGTTAGTGGAGGTCAGAGAATCTAAACCGCAGTCAGCGCTTTGGCTTCAGGCACGGAGCCAGATAGGCCCCAGAGGGACAAAAGCTGTCACTGCAGAAGCAGACACTCAGCTGAGGCCTCCCTGGGGAGTGGTAGGGCCGCAGAAGGGCAAGCCTTCCTGTCTTACCCTCAAGTTCAGGGACTAGACAGCCTGAGCAAGGCCTGAGCAGAGTGGAGGAGGGAGGGTCAGAAGCAAGTCCCACAGTGCTATTGAGCAGGGCCCCTCTGCCTGGTCTTTCCCTGGCCTGGCCTAGTATTTAAACCACTTGGATCTGAGGTGGTGGGTGCCCAATACATTGCGCCTGCCAAACCCCTCTGTAGTCAGACTTGCCATTCTCTAGGGTGAGAACCTGGCTTATTTTGTCACATTAGGGTAAGAAAACCAAAACTACCCGTGTCAGCTTTTTTTTTTTCTTAAGTATATTTTATTGATTTTTACAGAGAGGAAGGGAGAGGGGTAGAGAGTTAGAAACATCGATGAGAGAGAAACATCAATCAGCTGCCTCCAGCACACCCCTTACTGGGGATGTGCCCGCAACCAAGGTACATGCCCTTGACTGGAATCGAACCTGGGACCCGTCAGTCCGCAGGCTGACGCTCTATCCACTGAGACAAACCAGTTAGGGCCCCTGTCAGCTTTTGACCTTCCTGTGCATTTTGGTTTTTCTTTCCATTTAGATTTTTAGTAACTTCCTTTTGAAACCTGAGCAATCCTTTCCGCTTGTCCAATGTTAAAAGTTTTAAAAACACATTCTCATTCAAGTCTCATTTGGTCCTGCTGACAGCCCCGTGAAACAAGAATCACGATCCACCTTTTACAGGTGAAGCTGTCAGAGGTGACGTGACTTGACTTAGCCCAGGACACCGTGACGGTGACCCGATCCGTCTTTTATGAACTCTGTGTGGACTGCCCCAAGGGCAGAGGCGCTTGTCTGTGTCTTAGCCCCAATAACGATGAAGGGCCAAGGGTGCCCTTTACATGCCCAGAGGCCACCGAAGCTTGGTGGCTGTGATGCTCCTGCTGCAGATGATCCATTCATTCCCCGTCCTCATAAATACCCCTTGTCATCACCTTCTAAGCTGAACACCATTTGAGTTTCTGCCCAAATCAATGATTCTTGAACAGCTATTCTTTTGCATCTCAGATAAATGCTTGTTGCCTCTCCCTTTGGCCTTCTATTTTGAGGTTAACAGGATCTAAGGTGATCTACTTAGTACACAGATTTGGCTGTGTGTAACACATACCGAATAGAGCAGTGGTTTGAATGAAGGGGTTTATTTCTTGGTCATATACTATCTGGAAGTAGGTGGCTTAGGCCTGGTTTGGTAGGTGGTTCTGCTCAGCCATCCCCAGTTGGTATAGTCCAAACATTTCATCCATTTTCCAAGCAGCAAGGTGAAGAAGTGGCCTGTTCTCTGCCGTTATGGGGAGAATTACAAGTCACTTACCTTGTTATCTTTCTGCTTATTTTGGTCAGAGGTTAAACATATGGCTACACCTATTTGCACAAAGGGCTGGGGAGCATGGCCTTTATTTGAATTTAAAAGTAAGTTTGTTTTTAAACTATACAGAGTCTGTTTGGCTATGAGAGATAAGGGGAGAAGTGGTAAGGAGACAACTAGCAGCAGCCTTTACTCCAAATGATATTTGACACCTGCCACAAAACATAAATTGGGCAGTATTTCCTCCTTTTTTAATTTCTGGAAATACGTATAAGATGCCCTGCATGCCCTCCCTACCCCTCTTGATTTGGTAAACTTTCCCAGAAAGACCATCTGGGTCTGTTTTATTTTTATATATCTTCTTTTGTGTAGGTTTATACTACTGAACAGTTTTTATTTTTTACTAATAAAAATTGTATTACTTAGCAGCATTTAGAATGTTAACAAAATGGCTGCAACTTTTTTGTTTTTTTGCAATTAGAGAGTGGTATTCAGTTAAGAGAACAACAATTGTTTCATAAAAGCTGCATCAGAGACAACTGAAGATGAAAACATTACCATCCCCACATGTAACTAATTTGTGCTGTGCACCAAGAACCTGCTTTAAACTTCCATGCCAATTTACAACCCCCATACTGTACCAGGCAAAGTTAGTGGCTATTGGAAATACCACCAGGACAGGCCTATCTAAACACATATTGGGCTCTGCCAACGTGGCTCAGTTGGTTGGAGCTTTGTCCAACTGTGCATCGAAGGGTCCTGGGTTCAATTCCCAGTCAGGGCACATACCTAGGTCTAGGTTCGATTTCCCGTTAGAGGCAGCCGATCAATGTTTTTCTCTCTCCCTTCGTCTCTCTCTAAAATAAATAAAGACACATATCATCAGTGAGGATTATAAAACAAAAAGCATTAAAAAAAGACATTTGGTAGTGTGTTAATTGTACACACAGAAAAAGACACTGTATAGTTAGTTTAAAAACAAATCTTTAAAAAAAATATCCT